CAAAAATCACAAAACCATGACTCTATGTCTTCATAGGAGAACAATCATGAAGTTATTAGAATGCTTAAACAAGACTTTAAAATATCCATGCAACTGACTTGGGTTCTTATTGTGTGCAGATTTTCACTTTAATTGTGGTTGGCAAATTGGCATTTACACATTGAGAGGTCCAAGCAGAGGGCAATGTTGTGTTGATGCTGACAGTAACCAAAAGGAAAACCAGATGAGTTCCTCCAAACACACTTGTAAATGCTTGTGCCTGGGCAGGAAAGCCTCACAGGCTACCTGAGCTTTGTTCCCTCATAAATCTGTGTTATCTCAGGATGGTTGAAGTGGGAGGGAGACCTCTGGAGGTCACCCAGTCCAACCTCCCTGCTTAGGGAGGTCTACTAGAGCACATTGCCCAGAACTGTGTCCAGATGGTTTTAGAGTATCTGCAGGGAAGGAGACTCCACAACCTCTCTGGGCAACCTGTAACAGTTCTTTCTTACTCTTCCAGTCAATTTTTTTTTCCCCTCAATTTGAGAGTGGAATTGTGCATGGTCTGGGTTGTGAGCACAGAGATTGCTCCAGGTCTAAGGGACCCAGAGAAGCACTGCAGAGCTCTGAAGCCCTGTTTGTGTTCCAGGATGCTGGAAGGCCTTGGGGAACTCTCCCTTGCCTTGGTTTCTGAAGCTACAAAATGGGGTTGGCGAACTGTATCTGATGTGTGCTTTTACATTTCATCTACTGATGAAAAATGTGATATGAGATCTGTGGGCAATCATTATTACCAAGGGGAAATAAATTTGCATTGAAATAGGATGGAATGCATACAAGAGAAAGGAGGACTGGGTCTGCATAATGAGATTTTAGCTGGAAACTGTGACTGAAATGGGAAGCATTTGGGGGGTACTCTGTAAGCATCTGTGGCAAAGGCTACACCAGAGCACAGGTAATTTCCTTCTAATTGCGTTTCTTTTGATGTGCAAACTCCTCTTCCTGCTTCATCCACCTGGTGATTTTTGCACAGTTAGCATTATGATACACTGAAAATTATTTTTGTTACTGAAGTAGTTGTTACTGAATGTGCAAAAAGCAGTAACTTCCTTAACGATTTCTATCTCTGAATGTCCAGATTTTTCTTCAGAAAGAGGATGTTCCCTTTCTTCCTTTAGCTTTACTACAGTTTTCCTTCTGTATCAGAAATCTGCTCACAGTGTGACTGCTCAGTGGTTTTCCAGTGTGGCTGCAAGGAGAGAGGTGCTGGTTCAGAACGAAGCACTGCGGGAACTGACTGTCCTGCCACTATCTAATGATTATAGAAGGACTTTCTAATTTCTTTTTTTCTCTCTTGGAAGAGAGAAATCTGGAATCAGAACAGCATTTCTGTGCCTAAGACATGCTACATGTGATGCAGGGGCTGACTCAAGTCCCTGTAGCCAGGAGGCTTTCAGGGTGCACCAGTCAGGGTGATAAAAGGCCTGTGTGCCTCCCACCCACAGGTACATCTGCACCCAGGGAGGTTTTTCTGTTCTAGGCTCCCATTATGTTTGCTTGAAAACCGTGCAGTGCTTTGGGCTTCATAGATTAAATATAAGCACCATTTGCAACTGCTTAAATCTGAACTGAACTTGAAATTTATGTTCAGTCCAGTAATGACTGTAGCTGCTGTTAAATTGCTCCATTAACTATAAAGCAAAGTTTAAACTACTGCGTTTCACTTTCATGAAGTGCTTCTAAGCACTAGTAATGTTCCCTTCATCGAGTTCCTGCAACTTTATAGGAAGCTGAAAGCTTTATCCTGAAAAGAAGGAAAGATCTTAAAATTAAAGCCCCTGTGAAACCAATGAAAAGATGAGGTGGAGAGAGAGAGAAGAAAGGATTAATACTACTAGGAGGAGTTGGAAGGAAATGGAGCATCTTGCTACTTTGCCTTTTCCAAATACCTGGTGTGTTCAAAGAGCTCTACTAAGCTGATTGCCTCAAGCACTCATGGAAAAGAGAGCAAGTGCAATTCCAAAAGGCAACTGCTGCTTTGTTCTGATAAATTTTTCAGTTTATAGTGTGAAGATAATTACCTGTTTTTTTCTCCCTTTTTTTCTTGTAATATTTCTTCAAGTGGGTTTGTTATCTTTCAGGGTGGTTGCTCCATCCATACAGCAATTGCCAGATGATTACCTCTTTAATGTTTTCACCGAGTACTTTGCTGGTTAACCTCCTTATCTGGAGAGCTGCTTATTGATATTTATGTCTTGTCAGCACAGACGTTCATTAAGCATTGGTAAATGACATGTTTTCATATCTGCTGACACTAGAAATGCAATATGATCAATTGCAAATTGACTTTAGTGCAGTAATAGAGTGCATTTTACACACTTCAGTGGATCATTCGTATAAGCAGAGCTAGAATTGTTATGGCTGTTTATGTCTGCCTAATATCCCAGTATAAATTCTTCCAAGTCAAGGAATTCTCAATGCAAGCAAGGCACATATCCCAGGTCAGCTCCTGATTAGCAGTTTTTAAATGTCAGGAGGGGGGAAGGTGGCAAAAAGGCCCTGGTTGCCAGACTTCTACAAGGAGGAGTCTTTTGCGGGTAGCTGCTTGGCTTCTCTCCCTGACATGGCATCTCTCTGGGTCTCTCTTCACCTCCCTTTTTCCGCCCGGCCTTTCTCCACCAGGAAGGCAGCACAATTGTGCCTACAACTCAGGCTAGGAGTAGTGAGCTCCAACTCCTGTACCAAAGGCCAGCAAAACAGTGACTGTGTTCTCAAAGGGTGCCTTGTGGTTGTGGGTAAGAGTTTTGTTGAATGTCCTGACTTTGAGTAAAAGCCCTCATCAGAAAACACCACAGGGTTCCAATTTAACAGAGCACTATAAAAAGAAAGGTGTGAATGCAGAAAGTAGCCTGGTAACATTCAGTGTTGATTTCCTGTCATCCATAGAGGTAGATCTATTAATTTTTAAATTTTGTGCTACAAATTGTGGCATGTCTGAGATTTCTCACCAGGAACTGACTAAAAGCAGAGAGGATTGACATGCGTTAAGTTCATTTTCTGGTGTACTGAGGGAGAAAGTTAATGGTTTGTGTTAGTCTTTTTTTCGAAAGAAAGTAAGAGCTTTCCATTGTTTTAACAGAGAAGATTAGGTTATCAAAAGAGTATACAAAACTCGAAACCTCTTAATGTTCACCTAAAGCAATCTGGCTCTTAACTTCAGCTTTGCTTCTGCTGTAATACCTGGAATTTACTCTGTACTTTATGCTGCATGTCACTTTTTTTTTTTTTTCTATGAAAATGAACAGGTTGCCTCCTCTGTACAGAGAAGTACGAGCTTCTGATCTAACCTGTTTTGTTGGTGATCTTCCGAAGAAATCTGAGAACTCTAGTCTTCTTGACTATAATCACTCTTACTGAATGTACGGAATGTTCTCTTATTTGCAATTTATCTGCTGCATGTGCCTGCCTGCTCTCTGCAGGTCAAACCCTGTGAAATAGCATTGTTTCAGCACTGTGAAGAACAGAATGGTAAATTAATATTATAGCTCCATAATGAAATAGTTCTCACGTAAGATTCCAATATCTGTATTTTACAGTGATGCAATAGTACTGATTTATCATTGATATCCATAATGCTGAACGAATAGTGATGGACTTCCTAGGAGTGGAGTGATGGGGTTCGTGCTGAAGCACAGAGTCAGACAGCTGAAGGCAAATACCATCTCAAGTTTAAGATTATTAGGTTTAGCAGGTGGCAGAGACAGTGATTTCAGTGTGAGTCATAAACACACTGAATATTCCTGCACCTTGCTTGCCTCTCCATTTTCTTTTTTTTTTTTTTAGCTCAGTGGAAGGCTAAATCCTGCCCTGTGGCAAGCTAAAGTGCTCTGACAGCATGGTTTGTGGTCTGTTCATCAGCTTGGCATGGAAGATGGCACAGGGAGAGCTGCAGCTAGGGCTCCAGAGCACCTCTTAATTCAGTGTCTCCCAGCTGATTTATTTAACCCAGGATGGTGTAATTCATCAGGATTGTGACTCTCTCCAGTTAGCATTTATGTAAATGGAAGCAAGTTCAAATCAGGTGTATGGTCAGCATTATCACCAGCAGACCTGTTCTCCAGCACTGCAGCGCTGGCAGCATCACCAACTTCACTGAGGCTTGCTGTATGCAGCCCTCATTTTTTGAGGCTTCATAGCATTGTTATAAAACATCACACTACAGTGCAATTGATTATGTGACTGCTTTTTCCTCAAAGAGGATTAAGTTATACTCTGACAATAGGAAACTTTCTGAATAACAGACAGAAGGAGGGAGAAGTGAGCAGCTTTTCCAGTTGGAGTTGGTGGGACGGCTCTGTCAAGGCCAGATGCTCTCGGAGAGACCACAAATTCAGTATCCGCTGTCTCTGGCCATCCGAATAGTAGGGCCCCTGCCAGGCTGTAACGTAAGGATGTCCCTTTCCTCCAGCTGCCTCTGAGCAGCCACCCATGTGATGTGGTGTGGAAACAACAGCTAAGGGTGGGAGCCAAAGGTGTGTCACATGAGCTCCATCCCTGGCTTGGTGTGCATATTGACAGGATGCTGCCAGTCTCCAGACAGAGTCTGGGTAGGGTAAGACTGCTGCTCCAGACATGTGCAGGATGGCTCTGGTCAAGAGGCTGCAGTTCTGTTCATTACAGCTCCTCTGCCTTTATGAACTGGAATTTGAATTTCAAATCTACATATAGCTACCAGGATGGGGGGGAAGGGGAGAAGTGACCAGAAATACCAAAATGGCTGTTTTTTCATGAAGTATGGAGTTATTGCCTGTCTAGACTGGAGAAAGTTTTTTGTATTCACACTTTAAAAGTTTTAAATAAGTTAAAGGTTTGCACTCGTGCTGTCTAGCCGTTCCCTGGTTAGTTCTATGAAAACATTCGCCTTGACATTTTGACAACTTTTTTTTCCTTTCATTTAATCTCTCATTTAAAATTGTTTTCATTGTCTGTGGTTTAGCAACTCCCTTGGTCTCTTTACACAGGCGAGGCCCTTTGGAGAGCAGCAGCTCAGTGTGCCCTGCAGCAGCTCCCGACACCACCTTGAACTCTCAGTCCGAGTTGAGATCTTGCCTCAGATACTGTGCCAACTTGCCACCAGGATTTGCAGGCAGCAATGCAAAACTTGCCTTCAGACTTCCACAACATGCTTGTGGAAACATGCTGATGCCTTCCTAGCTTGCAGCTCGAGGCAGCAGGTAGAGGATGTGGAGTCTTCACTGACTGTGGTGCCCAGGGTATGCTGCTCTTGCTGTACCTCTTGCTACATACACGCGTGAGCACTTGGCCTCTCCAAAAGTTGCTCTCAGCTCCAACACTGGGAGCCCTAGACAGTTTCCTATGCTGGGACAAAACTGTAGAGCATGAGGATGCTCTGGTCATTCCATGCGTTGGCTTGCAGTCTGAGTTTGGTGTCACTATAGAAGAGAAATGCCCCAAATCATTGAATCAGTACAAGACTTAACCTCTCACCTTCAGTTTTCGGAAGGTATTTTGGCAGAAACATTTGCAATTGATTTAGGTTATAAGGATGCAGTCGGTGCTGCAGAAGTTGTGCTGGTACCTTTCCACAGCTCAAAACTCAAATAATTCTTGAAAATCTGAGCCTTTGTGTCTTACCAATCTATTTCGGCTCAAGTGGTTTTCTCTGCAGAGCTTTCTGTTAATTGATTCATTGGAGTGCACAAGGTAGTGGGGCCGGGCATTAGGGGGCAATGGCAGCACTATGATAGACAAGCAGAGAGAGAAACTGTAAATGTGTTTCCAGGGAGCCATGACTCTACTGGTGTCTGGAGAAAAAACCCTCACTTCTTTATCCTTCTACAACCTGCCTTAGGACTGCGTTATGTCGAAGAATTGCTGTTCCAGTCCTACAGATTGCATGAAACTGGTCTTAGGATTTATTTATTTTTTTGGGGGGGAAGAGGGGAAGTGAAGGGTTGTGTTCTGTTGGAAAGCAGAGAAAAAGCTGTAATGTTCCTACAGACCAGACCCCCACGGGCAATTGCATGTCTTGTCACTTCTTCCAAGCACTGTCCAGCACATGAAGGGTTGGATGGTGAGAATGAACCACTTGGTTTCAGTTTTGGGAAGTCAGAACGGAAGTGAAGGCTCACTCCCTCTGGCCAAAGTTGTTTTTCTATCTTAGCATGAACCAGGAACTGAGAACAGTGGTGAAATTTTACAAGTGAAGGCTATCAAAAAATATAAAAGGTTCTGCCTCGTTTAAGACTGAGGGGAAAAGAAGGTTGGGACTGAATTTTTAATATTGTTTGGGAATCCAGGTCCCTCAGACAGGCAGTGTGCATCCTGGTGAGCATGAAGGAGCACTGGGGACAGTGCGTGACCTGGTGTCGCTGGCTCCCTTCTCTCACTGGTGACAATGTGTTTATAGATGGAACACAGCCCTAGTCCTGGGGTGGGGAAAGGCAGTTGGGGACCTGAGGACCAAACAGGCATCAGTTCTGAAAACTTTCTCTGAATGGCAAATGTCTCTATCTCTTTTTATTTTCTGTTTGTATAAGGTGAGCTGCTGAGGATTAATTGAATAATAGCAAATATGAGGATCTGGTATAGGAATTAGGACTTAAAGAAATCTGATGAAGCGAGTAGCATATAGGGCTTGCTTGAGATGAGCATGACAAAGAAATTGGAGATTAGGGAGATACCCTTGGGAATCCTCCAACAGAAGTTCTGCCATTGATTTCTTCTCACACTGAGAAAGAGAAAGCCAGGTCAAGAGACTGACAAGCAGTGTGTGCAGGGAAAAATAAGTTGCAGTCAGGCAATAATCCCCAATCAAAAAGAGTTCAGAAGAAACAGAAGTGCTTAGGCTTGTTTATTTGTAACTGAATTGCATAAGTATGGACGTTATTCTCTGAGGACACAGCTGTATTGATATTTCCAACAGTAAAAGCTAGAAGGAAAACAACAGAAGAGAAGAACAGGTTACACCGAGGTATCAATAAATTATTTGCTTTGCCATGCAAAAGAAGCAAAAAACTGTCCATAAACATCTTGATAAATTCTGCAGCACTCTGAAGCACGGCTCTTTCATTTTCTTTTTTAAATTTCTCTGAATGTTGGTGATAGGGATTTACTGCTACCAGTAGCTGTTTATTAATATTATAGAAATTGAATATTTTCTTGTATTAGTTCTCTTTCTCATATTGCCTATATTAAACTGCAAAATTTAGCCAGCAAACTTTCCTTTTCAACATATATTTTTTTTCCATTGATAAGAACATTGACCTTATTTTAAAGGACCTGGATTGGCATTTAAGTTTCTGGTATCCAATTCCTGTTCCTGCCACAAAATTCGTATTTGATCTATTTGAATAGACGACTTAATTTGCTGTGCCTTGTCTGTTTGTGAAAGATGACTTTTGGGAACATTGCCTCCCTAAATTTAATTGTCTTAATTATTAAAATCCATTTTCTAGTTTTCAGAATGGATGTGTTTGCAGCAGAAGCTGCTGTGTAATTCTGTTTTAATAAGAAACACCCTTGTTATGCAGGAAAATGCTTAACCCACTGCTGGGTGTGGAGCACCCTGACTGCGTTACTCCACCCCACACCCCCCAGCCCCTCTGCCTCTTGCAGATGTAAGAATAATGTAGAAGGATTTGGGTTGGATGGGGCATTTGAGATCATATAGTTGCAACCGCCCTGCTATAGGCAGGGGCGCTTCCCTCTACACCAGGCTGCTCAAAGCCTCATTCAGCCTGGGTTTGAGTGCTTCCAGGGAGGGCGCAACCACAGCCTCTCTGGGCAACCTGTTGCAGTGTCTCACATCCTTCACAGTAAGAATTTAACTGATTAACTGTTTTTTAATTACAAAAGATAATGGCAATAAGCATGTGCAGCCTTCCTTTGTGCAAAATTGTTTCTGTAGAAGGTGTTCTGTTATGATTGCTGCTCATATTAATGCTATGTGTTATTCACTGAAGGTATTATAAGGACAGGGCTTTCATGTAAGCTATTCCCTTCTTGCTGTGCATGGATTTTACTTAACTATTGCAAATAAAATATATTTACGCTTCTTGTTCTTGAACAGATGCGCTTTAGAGTTTGTTTTTAAGCTGTATCCCTCCACTATGAAGTATTGCATTTCTTTCTAGTGCCAAGGTTGCAGCCGAAAGGTGTCTCTGATGAAGATTTGACTGTGCAACTGAGCAAGCTGCTCATGAAGAGAGTTTTAAATGAAACAGGTCAGTGATATTTACATAATTCTGTTCTTCTGACTTAGGGGGCTTTTTTTCTTAATTGTGAGATTGTACAGAGTTCAGTTTCTTAAGTTATTTATAGAAAATCTTTTCTAAAGTTTTCCTGAAGTTGGCAAGAGCAAAGCTGGATCCAAGTGTTCTTTAAGCTTGAACAAAATGTTATGTGGAATATCTTGTCTGATTTTCTGATAACATTAGAGGTATCTAAGGCTTTTTTTAAATTTTGAAATATTTAAAGCCCACTTGCAAACCGGTTGCTGAATTTTTCTCTAGGTTTTAACATATCTCTGTGCATCTCACCTCCGTTAGAGCAACTAGATCTGGTCTGAGCTGCATGTGCAGATTAACAGGATGGCTTGAGGATGTTGCAATGCTAATAGATTGCAAATACCTGTGAATATCTCAATGTTTTAAGGAAGCTTTCTGGGCTGGCATTTTGCTGCCAGGAGATGCAGACTCAAGCATAGTTGAAAAGATGCGTGGTTTCTACTTCAGATGCATTAGTGCCTTTTTTAATCTATGTAGACACGCAACAAAAGTGGCATTGAAAACATGCATGGTAGAATGATGTGAATGCTGTATTACATTCCTGTTGTTTTCATCTTATTTGTTTTCAATAGTAGGAAAAAAAAATTGCATGTACTTCATGTCCCGTATTAGAACTAGGTCTGATGGATTCCCATGGGAGTTAGTATCAGGCCTATATGTGTGTGAGGACAAACCATGTTTTAGACCCATCGGAGTTAGTGGAATTGAGATAAGATGTATGTGTGTGCATATATATACATATTTTAACCTTGCTTTAAAGTCTCTGGCATAAAAAATGTTAGTTTCAAGAAAATGAGAATTTAATCAGCTTATTGATTAATGCCTTGCAAGTGAAATTTCTTTCTCTTGGTGTTCTTTTTCAGGAGTACATTATTACTATTACTCTCATTTATAACCAGATTAATTTTAAGTGCTTAAAGAAAGGTGTATGTTTATACTTAAGAACCAATAAACAACAAACAAATCCAAAACATGAGATAGGGCTCTGCCTTCTGGATTCTGCTGGGTTCCCAAGTGTCTAGTGCCAGCATATATAACTGCAGGATCCTACTTTCTGATCAAAACGAGCATAAAACAGAACTTTGCCCTCAAATAAGAGTGCTATTCCCCTGTAGCAGTACCTTATAGGAATTAATCTGCTAGGCTCTCTTCTCACCCCATCAGCTCTTTCTTCTCCCTCTAACGGACGAAGTTCAGAAGAGCTGATCCTAAATATCAGTTGCAAATACAAATGGTTAGGCTTTTTTTTGTGAGAGTGTGTGTGTGTGCGTCTTCGTTTTTTCCAGAAACTTCTCCTCACAAAGTCAAAACTGAGGCCAAATTCTCTATGTAAAAAGCAGCTATCCAAAGTCTTGGGCCACTGCTTATCTTGCTTCCAGGCCAAGCCATTTTTTTGCTATTGAATTATTTACTTAGGATGAGAGTCATCTATAATTATCACAGAAGCATTAGAATCCAACAGGACTTTGAATACATATTTAAAATGTTTACTAGTGTGTGAGCATATTCATTTAATGCCTTGAGAGACTTAGCTTTTCATTACAACTCCACATGAGGTTTACCCTCACTGGTTTTAACTTTCCAGACTGTAAGATGCTTGTCTCGGCTTTTTATTCTCTCTGTTCTTTTGTTTTGTGCTTCAGGACTTGGCAATGAGATGTACGATTCCCTTATGTGCACATACTGTGTGTAGTGTTTCAGGTTCTAATTTACACAAGAGACCATGGACTTTCCACGAAAGACTATGATTTGATGTATGCAGTGGCATTGTGTGATGTTTGTTGTTAGCTTTTGTCCTGTTTCTTTTCTCATTTGTGTGGATTGTACCTTACTATGCATGAAAAGCATTTAATAGCATTGTGCTGGATGTCTTGCTCATTAAATCCCTTTCGTAATTGTCCCACCCCTGTTGCAGTCAAAGCTAAACTGCACTAACATTTCCTTGTAGCTGTTAGATTTTGAAAAGCTTACTTTAAATAATTTTTTTTTCTTTTGTTTTCAGCATTTTGAGTCTTTTTTTTTTTTTTTTTTTTTTTTTTTTTGTAGATTACTTCTCAGAATGAAAGACAATGAAATATTTAGTAAGCTTGCTGGAAAAACTCTGGAGGCAGGATTTATTAATAGTGAAAATTCATTATTGATGCTGTTCTCAATTGGTGGGCATTTTTATTCCTGCTTACTTTTACTTTTTTTTATTTTGAAGATGGCTTAGCTGGTGGCTACTCACTGTGAAAAATCATTCCCAGTCTCCTGAGCTGACAGGTGACTTCATCCTTTGTGTTTGAAAGCTGAACCTCATGACTTGTGCCTATCAACTCAGTTCCACTTACATCAGCTAAGGAAAACAGTTTTGTGTTCCGGCTTTTCACGTGTTTCTCCCAAGGCTACTTCAGACTGTTCAAAACTGACTTCTCTTTTGACGGCTGCTCTCTTTGTACCAAAGCTTCACAGATGTATTTCCATCACCTCTGCCCTGACATTGACTTCTATTTCTCCCAATACTGTGGTCTGTGGTCCAGCACTTCCATTGCTCCATGATAAGGCTGCAGCTGGGGATTCTGGGGTGGAAGTAGATGTTTTCTTCTATTTCTCTAGTGATAGAGTTCCATGTACATGCGTTGCTTGGATTTCTAGGTGTTTCTGCATTATGCCTTCTGAATCATTTCCAAGGGTTTTCTAAGCTACTAATCTTAACATCACATTCTTAACACACACCTAAAGCATATGTGGCTGAAGTGATTGTTTTAGCAATGAAGTGATACAAACCCAGTACTCTGTGATGCTTAGGAGCAAAAAGTGCTGCTTTTAAATCTATTTCTCTGGGCTGTGTGGCTCAGGGCATCACACCATGATGTCACAGGGATTAAGATATTCATATGGAACATTCTAGTTTTTGATAAATAACAGTCCTTAAATGTACTGGTGTTCTATTCTTTGCCACCACTGACTATCCTGTGTGTTTGATCTTGTTATTTATAAATACTATAAGTAAATTTCATATGAAAAACTCAATACTCTGAATTTAAAGTGCTTTAAATCAGTGTTCTCAAAACCCCTCCCTCCCAGCGCTCCTTCCAGAATGCAGTCTGAGCAGTCTACTTCTTTATACTCTGCAGAAGGGCAGGGGAGCGAGTGCAGATTTGAAATCTACATATATCTTCTGGAAAATTGAAGCAGCACAGCATATATACTATTACAGTGTCCCAGCACTCTTTTTTTGCTTCTTCCTGTCCTTCTCTTTAATACTCAATGCTTCTTCATTCCAGCAAGGAGCACAGGACCCCTTTAGAAAACCTAGAAATCACATCCTTTTGGGCTCTGAGATGTACTCTAATGAAATTTCCTCATTAGCCCAGACTTTTCCATCTTGGGTGAGCTGGTATTATGTACCTGACAACTACAGACATTAAGACACAACCCACTGAGCAGAGAGATTGGAGTTCTGGTGCAGATAGTTATTGTGCCTTGCTGTCCAGCTTGGTGTGGGAAATTGCTTGTTAAAACAAGTTGTTCTCATATGCACCTGAATGGATAATGGATTTTAAGCAAAACTACAGTTAACCTGTTTGAGAAAGCACTTGTTGTACTAGTGGAACTTGTATTCTAGGTCCTTAATTTGTACTAATGTTTGCTAACTTTAAATCATTGCACCTCTGAAAACCTTATGGCTGATTCAACTCTGGAGGTCACTGCCCTCCGCTTATGCTTTGGGCAGGGAATGAGCTATCCCTTAGTAATTTCTTCTGAAATTGCAAAAGACCAAAATCTATTTCTCATTAAATTCTAGATCTGCTCTGACCTATTTTCTCATTTTATATTTAATAAGAAGTTTATAGAAAATAGACCTTTTCAGCTGTAGTAACCATACTGGTATAATGTTTTAGCCTTTCCATGAAATGCTGCTGCTCCTCATTTGGTAGTGGCTCTTGCTGCAGCAAGTCTCATTCCCTGTGCAAACAAATAGCTCGAAAATATTTTCATACCAAATGTGCACAAAATTACAAAGAGTTTAGTTAAATTCACAATAAGAAGTTCCTGCAGCATTTCTGGACATAACTCATTGGCAAGCTCAGCTGGCACTTGGAGCCCAGAGAGTTCCTTCCACCCACGTCTGTGCTTCAGCTGGAGCATCAAAGAGCCGGCACCGTATAGCGGCTATCCCTGCTTGTTGAGCTGACATGAGGCAAGCTATTATCATATAAATGAGATAAGGTCTCTGATAACTGTGGGTTGAAAGTAAAACTGAACCAGATTGCTCATGGCTGGAAATTTTAAGTGTACCTTTCTGTCTTGAATTTTTTTTCTTTAAAGTCTGTATATTTTTCATTCTATGCATTAGCCTACTCTCTAACCGATATAAAGAGCCCTTATGCTTTCCATTAGGCTAGCAGTTGTGAATCCATTTTTAAGGCTAGGACTTTACTTTGTTTTCGCCCTGTTGGCTATTGTGAAATCGGGATGCAAAAGTAATAAAACTGAGAATAAATTTGCTTTGAAGAAAACATGGATGTCAATCAGTGTTACAATACAGCACAATTTCTTCATTTAATTTTTAGAGAGTTTAGGAGGCTCTCCTGGGGCTGAACTCCTCCTTTGGGGATTAAGAGCTAACCTGTGTTCTTCTGGTGAATGATCATGTACTTATCTGATCATCTTTGTGGCCTTGTTGGTCATGTAGAATCAGTTTATGTATATAGTTGGCTGATCTTTTTTTCCGTAGCCCAGCATTTCCCTTAGAATTAGACAAGTGTTTGTGAGAGTGTCTTGGGCTTCCAGGCTTTGTAGCAGAGGGAGTGAGAAGGAAGTGGTGGTGTTATGTATTGCCTTACATATCTCACCTTGGTTCAACTGTATACGTTTAGTTTCAGGTAATGGCTGCAGCTATTGTTAATATTAGTTGCATATTTAAGGGAGAAAAAAAATTCTGATAGTAATTACTAAGTTATGGAATATTATTCTGAATAGAATAATATATAGAAGAATATCCTAGAAACTCCTTTTCCTGCCTCACTCAAACCTGTAATAAATACATGGAATAATACATATGTGATGTATCAAAGGGCCATGGTGTGTTGCACCTACTGGCTCTGCATTACTAAGTATAATTGGCTCTGAGGGTCCTTCTGGAGGCCACTGCTGTTTTATCAGACAAGTGTCTTGGTCTTTAACTTAGCTACTGAAAGTTTTTCCTCTCATTACTTCAAGTGTGAATTTTTTCTAAATAGTGTCTCCTTGGATGGTTTTGAAGACCTCTGCATATTAGTATATTAAAGCTAGAAATGAGTTTATAACCCTTTGATTAAACCAAATGGATAATATAAAACCACAGTGAGAAAAGTTTTTATGCTACATACATAACAACTCCATGCACAGATTTGCCTTTAATATATAAATAACTAAATTAAAGCTCAACTTGAATGCCGCTAAATTCTTGGGATATAATAAAAACTCTTACAAAATATTGCCTCCTTTAAGCAGTATCTTTCTTCATTTACTGTGCTACAGTCCAGTATTTCTGTTTACGCTTGCTACCATTTCACAGTGTCTGTCACTTCAATTTGCCCTCAGCAAGGGAGTTGCTGAAGGGCCGATTTTCCTTTCTTCTTTTTTATTTTTTTATTTTTTTTATTTTTTTTGGTGACTTGACAGAATGGCTAGAGAAATATCAAGCCCAAAGAGAAATGAAAAAGCTACACTTTGATCATCTACGTTCCCTACGGTATTATGAACTTTAATATAAGTTTTTAAACTTGAAGAAGAAATTCTTGGAAGGTGGATCAGATACTTCAAAGAAAACTGGCTCCATCTAAAGAATAAGGAATCTGTTCATCTGGAACACAGTGTATCCTCTTGGATATACGGATATCCAGGCATGTGAGTCATCCTATAGATGTGTTGCTGTCCAGAGGATACTGAAGCACAGAGAGAGAGAACATCTGATGGCCTAAGAAGAAACATCAAAAAATAAAGGCAGAGTGAGTGAATAACGAATGTTAAGATTAATATTTCAGCAACTTATTTAAAGTTATCTAGTTGCAGTGCTTGAGGCATTAAATTTGCTTGGGTGACCAGTGTGGAAAATCAGTTTATTTAAAACATTTTGCAATCTTGGAGAACTCAAAGTTTTTGGCCAACCTAATTCATTATTGCATATATTGGACAGAAAAAGTATAAATCCTATGCATAGCAAAAATTGATGGAGAAGTAGGAAATCTTGGACCTGAAAAGTGTGAAGAACATTTAAGGAGATGGAATCTGTACTTTCTGTTGTCTTGACTGTTCTTTCTTTGCAAATAGGAATACATGGGAAATTTCATCATAAGATTTCTAAGGTCATTCAGACCATATTTTTTGCACTGACTAAAGTTAATGTGCAAGGCAAAAGTTAAACCATCAACCCACAGGAAGCCAAAAGTAGTGAAAGCCAGTGGCTCAGTGATTCCAGTCTGTTATTGATAAATGTCAAGGTGTACATCATGACTTCTGAAATGGAGGAAGAGTGCTAATGCCCCCTGCATGGAGTTGCCTGCTGTGGGTTCTCAGCTGGGAGAGAATAGACTTGTGAAGGCATCGTCATATAAGCCTTTAGGTTGGACAAGATAAACTATCAAGTCCAGCCCTAAACTAGTTTGCCCCAGGTCCAGTACAAATTGCTCTCCCATCTTCCTTGTTCCCATTGTGAGAGGACTTGGGAGGGGCAATCATTGAAACGCAGCCTTATCTAAATTCTTTAAAGGGTTTATTTATGTTTCAGAGAGGACTGGAGCATAGAACTCTGATATATTTGTTAAACACGGGAAACAACTCAATATTGCTACAAACTGGTTCTTAATGATGAACGAAAAGGAATTAGTCTACATCTTATTAGTTATCATGCAATGGCAAGCTTTTACATTTCCAGCCTCCAGGCTGTTTTGTGTATGCATAGAGCACTATGGGTTTTTGTGATGTCACAACAGAAGACCTTGGGTTTTAATGATTCCCTGTCCTTTTCTCTCCCACCCCTCTGAATGATAGAATAAAGCTTTTCTGATTGCAGCTAAATAGAACAGTGTCCCCAAAGGCAGGCTAACAGATAGCTAAAGCTGAAGTATATAACTGATGCAGGGTTTTATATCCTCTGGAAAAAACTTTTGCCTTGCAAAAGTTTAACATTAAGCTATTTGCAGTGTGTACACTAGAGGCTTAAGTTTGATTGCTAGATATCAGAGCTGAAAAGGAATAGAGGAAAAAATCCATATTGTGTTATTGAAGACCGTGAATGTATCTGATGTTAAGGAATCTTCAGTGTAGCAGAGGATGTGTGCTGTAAGCCTTTAGATAACTCTATTTTAATTCCTTCCTGGTGTAAACAATACAGTGAATTCTGTCACAGACGTGGCTTTGAGCTCACTTGAATGTTTTCCTTCTACCTTCCTTGTTGGCATCTTTGTAGTATGAAAGGGGACGTGGAAAGGAAAGAAAAAAAAAATGTTTTCTGTGAATGGAAGCATTGGTAACTCTCTGTAAGCACTGAGTTCAGCAAGGAGAGGTTAAGAAACCTCTGCCTGTACAAATACCTCTGCAGCAGGCAGCAGATGCTTTTCTAGTGTTGCTGAGTTGGTGCCTGGAGGCCCACGTCAGCTCCAAGCTGCATGGGAGGACTCTGGTAGCAGCAGGCAGAACCCTGATGCATTCCGCCATGACAGCTGCCTCCTTCATGTTGCAAGATCTTACCCTGCTGGGAAATGGTGCAGGCAGCTGAAAACAAATCCTTCACAGATTGGCATCAAGTTAGCGTATTTGTCAGCCAGGCTCTGTATTTATGGCAAGTTTGCTTGAGGAAAGCTTGAAATACTCACTGCCTTAGTAGTAATGTGCCATAATGAGGTGTTTTCAGGTTTTCCAATCAGCACACATGTTGCTCTGTTGGCCAGATGTCCCTTTGAAACTATCTCATCTGAATTATACCTCCTTACTGTCAGCACTCACTTTTTCTGAACATCTTAAATACAGCCCTAGAGTCATATTCAACCTTTAAATCCTGAACAGAGTGTAGTTATTATTCACCTTACAGTTAATTCTCTGACAGAATTTCCGCAGGGTATGAATTTTTTTTTGAGTCTTCCTTATGGAGTTCTTCAAAGCTTACGAATAATCTTTATTTCTTTCTGCACTGGGGAACTTTGTTTCACAAACT